CTTGCCATTTTATGCTTAGCTGTTTGGACTTTCACAATGGGGGTTGGTGGGCATCTTGAAGCTGACTTATTGGTAGTATTCTTCTTACACTCTCCCTTCATATGTCCTTGCTCTCCACAGTTCCAACAAGCTTTCTGGGTAGCTGCCTTTCCTGCCATGGCTTCTTCCCTGTGTTGAAGTTTCCAGTATTGAGCTTTCTTGTGCCCAGGTTTGTTACAGTGCCAGCAAAGTCCCTCAAACCTCTCTGAAAGCTGACCTTTTCTGGCCTTGAATCCTGATGACTGTGCCAACCTTGGTACCTCTGTGCTGGACTTAATATAGGATTTAAATTCAAGAGCTCTGGCCATTGCATCCTGCATAGTAGAGGAGTGTGCTTGCTTTACTTATATATTTTGTTGTGGAATGTCCAAGGCATCTACAAACTGATCCCTCAGCAACAACTTGTGTGCCATTTTTTTCAAGTCCAGTGCCAGCTCTTGCAGGCTTTGCCCTTTAGCACGGACTCTCGTCCTAAATTTAGTCCTGTAGACTTCAGACTGATTTTGGGTTCCATACATGAGTTCTAGAGCCGCTAACAGTGCTCTGTAGTTGGTGTGTCTGTCATCTGCTGACAACTGTCTAAGTATTTCCAGTGGTCGTCCCTTCAAGCTCATTGCCAGATATACTGCTTTCTGCTCCCCTGTCCATCCATTCATTTCTGCCAGTAGCTCAAATTTTGCTCTATATGCTTCCCATGGTGCTTTCCCATCGAATTCCTGTGGCTTCCTTCATACTAGATCACCCCTATTTCTGACATTCATATCTGGGATGTGACTTCTAACAGGACTGAAGATGTATGCATTAGGATTTATTTTGTTTGACTTATAACTTTGCAAGCTGTGTACCCATTCTGTTGAAGTTGTTTTTCAGATTTCTCTATACCACTTTGTTAATTTATGCTACTTGAGGCAAATGATGGATGTGCAACATTTGTGAAGTAGCCACAGATTTCCATTTAAGTGAATGCTTGATGCACAAAATCAAAATGCAAAAGAATACTACACAACATACGTAACTTCCAATGATGGTTCATGGACTTACAATAACGTCCTACAACTACCCAATGTAGCTCAACATGAATTACTAAAAAATTACAAAGAATTAGCTGATAGTTATTCTTGGGAGTTATACTGAAATTGTATCAGACTTGCAGGAAGGCAGTTACTTGTGGGAAGGCAGTTACCCTTAAAGGTTCTTACAATTCTTAAAGTAGAAATGAAATTATCCTAAAATTTCTACTATATGCAACTTCCAACCTCCACCCTTACAAAAGGAATAAAATTAAATAATAAAAGATCTTAAATAGAACCACAAGCCCTACCTTTATATTTCTTATGTAGTTCATATTCCCAACATCATCTCTTTCTCTTGAAAATTTATTCAAATATAACATATGAAAGCCAAGACAAGCCCAGCAACTTGAAGTTAGTATTTCTGTCCCTGACAAACTCTTCATCATGTAAAATCACAATTTAGTGTAGCTTCTAAGCGTATTTAGCAAATATAAAACAAAAACTACTACCAGTACATGTACTTTCAACCTGATTATCACTGTGTGCAACAAAAAAGCTAAACAGATGAATCAAAGACAATTATAATTACAAATATCCTCCATTTTGAGTAAAGAGAAGGTAACTAGTCAGCGGCACTCACCACTACAAAGGCTTTGTTTGAATATGAAATTAATAATGGGACTTACTGTCAGTCTTGTAATGCATACATAGCTAAAAGCATACAGTATATTCAGCAGCATTATAGCAAGAATCTTGGATTCCCTGGGTCAAACTAAGCCCCTCTTTGAAGGCAAAGAAATAATTTTTTTGTTTTGAAAAATGTTAATATTGAAAATGAAGGCCAAAATCTAAAAATCTCCTAATAACATACACTGCTACTTTGCGCTAGTCAGAATTATCGTAATCATTATGCTTTACAATCTCACTGAAAAATTACAAATTCTATAACAAAAAACATTTTTCATCTAAACTAAAACTTATGACTGTAACATGAATATTTACATGCAGATTAACAGCACTTAAAAAGTTAAAATCTTAATTTTATGAGGAATAAAAAATTATGCCGAAACAAATAGTAAGAAAAGTTATTTTCAAATAATATGTCCTACAGATCTGGTGGATTATTCCTTAATGTCAATTCACCCATAAGCTAATCAACAATTCAGGACAAAATGTAATTTGTGCTGTACTTATTTTCATAATATAGAAAATCCATTACTAACAACTAAATAAAAAAAAATCCATTACTAGGTCTATTTAATTTCATACTCGTTAGTATTGACTACATAAGTACAATAAATGATTTTTTTCATTTTATTTTTTTCAACGTGATACATTTCATGGAAAATTGTTTTGGTTTTTTGAAGTATATGTTTGTGAACAAATATCTCAATTTTTCAAGCAATTTTTGCTTATAAAAGATATTTTCATAATTTTTTTATCATGCTTTTTCAATCTTAGAATGATACATACTTTGTACTTCTTTAGCCTCCTAAGATGATTTTATTTTAATAGCAAAATTAGTTCCTTAATTATGGTTATATAATAAGTGAGAATCTAGCCTTTTTCTGATCAAATCATTCATTACAACAGAGTTGAAGTTTTCAGTTTGTTGTAACGTACTACAGTTCACTGGATCCAGAAAGTCGTGAATTGTTGAAGTTCACAGAGTGAAGAACTTGGAAATTTTTTGTGCATGTTTCAAAACCTGTCAAAAAGAGGTTAAGTGTTTTTTAATGCTTGTCACAATAAAGAAAGAAAAGAAAATGAGATCTGATTTTAAAACAATTTCAGAAATTTTCTTTCCCATATGAATTAGCCCCTAAAAAACAAGATTAGCTATCATCGCAATACGTAACTGACATTTAAAGCATTATGATAAAAAAAATTATATTTCATTAAAAAATAAATACAAACCTACCATTAAATCAACTTTTTGGTTGTTCTGTAAAGTTTGAAATTACTATATTTTCAATGTGGGTAAGAATGATTTTCTGTAATAACATTTAAAACTTAGATAAAGAGACTCAATATTCATAGTCCATTAATAAAGCCACAATTTGCCTCTCTTTTAAACCATTTCCAAATTAGATTATTCATTTTTAAAATAAACAACATATTCTTGTTGAGTAAATCAACAACCACTACCTATATGTCGTAGGATTTTATTGGTTTATATTTACATTAAAAAGTTTCTTAGGGTCTGTCAAACCTAAATATCTGATTAAACTGTATGATGAAATACTGGGGAACACAACATCTAATTCATTCAATCTTATTGTAAAACACTTGAGTTATCTTTTATTGAAGATTATTTACGATTGATATAGCATGATTATGTGATTGAGATATAATGTTGGTTGTATTGTTCTGATTAGGTAATGAACATCCATTACTTGTTAAGTATAACTTACAATATTTATCAGCATTCAAATTTATCATGGTCTTTTCTCCACTCCTCTTTTAGAATGTCATACAGTTCATTCTCAGAGAATCGTTCAATCCATGACTGGATCATTCCTTCATGACTGGCGTCATAATTTCTAAGTTCTACCTTCCCATCTAAATTTTTTTTTGTAAAAACAAAGATGATGTTAATAATTATTTTAAATTAATCAAACATGTAATAATAATTAAAGTAAAATTTTGAAAGCCTTCTATGATTTTTTTTTAAAATCAAAAACATTTATAACACGAGTTTTCTTTGATACCTAGTTAAAGTCATATGAAGCTGACTTTAGTTTAGAAGAATAAAACATTCATAAACATTGCATTCCAAACAATATTTCAGACTTAATATAATGTATGCTAACTGTTATAGAATATAACTTACAAACTGGGACAGGAATCTTTACATTTAAATTTCTTCTTTCATAACATCATAAATTATTTTCAAAAGGCATCTACTAACCAACAATAAAAGTATTTGGTTGAACAAACATTTTTCTTGGCTTTTTTCGAGCCATAATAATATCCCTGTACTTTAGGAATGGATTAAGTCCCTCGGCAGTAACAGCAGAATAATGTTCAAACATAGCCTTCCCTTTTGCAACATCAGCTGTAGATTTGTATACCTATAGGGATAGAAGTAGATATTTTCACATGACTACTTAAACTTAGAGAAACACACATGGAAAGTTGTTGCAGACAGTATACCTACTAAACAGTGAATAACCCACAGAATATAGTTGCAGATCACGTAGATATAATGTTAACATTGTTTTCTGTGCATTGTTCACTGCATAGAAGGTATAACATCTTATTTTATTGTATATCACATAAATAATGTCTTTTATTTGTCACATCCTACTTATTAACTGCTTGCTCTCATGTCTTGCAGTGTCTAAATGGTTTATGATACATAACTACAGTTAATTTTATTTAAGTTATTAAACCTTTTCAATCAGGAAGAGGAGAGTATGCCATATTGGTAAGACACAGTATTTTACTGTGCTGTTTTAGTCAGGAATGTTTTTGCTACATTCGCTTATGTAGGCTGAAAAAAAAAATCCAGATCAATTCATCAAATTGAAAATTAAGTGAACACTACTTGGAAGCAAAGTTTTTAATATTAAAATTATATTTCTTACATTGTGCCACAAGCTGTTTGTATTCAGTACACTAACATTTCTATTAATATAATAATTAAAATTAAATTAAATGTAGTTAAGTTTACTGTTGAAATTTATTGCTAACAAATCACAGGCACCTACTGTAAACAATCCAGGCTATAAAACCTCACAGTAGCAATACATCTTCGGTATTCCAATTACAAAGTGTCAATAGAAGCCATTGCATGCAATATTTCAAGCCAAAAAATGCTAATGCTTCATCAGAAGAATGTAGACTTTGTAGAAAACATTAAATACCATAAGCAGCTGTGCTATAACTATATAAGTATAATTTTTTTACATCATAAAAATACGGGGTTCTTGTGTAAATGGTATTATTTCAAGCATAAGTTAAATTAACTTTCTCACCTGTAACCTTTGGAGGAATTTTCCAATGGCAGGATAACCTACAGTCTTAATCTTTGATCTATCCATACTAAGTAAAAGGTCTGGTTGACCATCACTCCCTTGCACCTGCTTCAAAGTCACAAACTCTTGTCCAGCTTCTAGCAAAACTTGCATGATCACATAACGAGCTTGACAGTGAGCCTAAACTCAGAGAGAAAGAAATCAGTCAGGTATTAAATACGATTGTTGGTATGACTTCAGATGATAGTTGAATCTAACAGGAGATACTAAAGATAAGCTAGTGCGATACATTTGAGTAAAGATAAAGCGAGTGAGATACACTTGAGTAAAGATAAAGCGAGTGCAATACATTTGAGTAAAGATAAGTGAGTGCGATACATTTCAGTAAAGATAAAGCAAGTGCGATACATCTGAGTAAAGATAAGTGAGTGCGATACATTTGAGTAAAGATAAAGCGAGCAAGATACATTTGAGTAAAGATAAAGCAAGTGAAATACATTTGAGTAAAGATAAGTGAGTGGGATACATTTGAGTAAAGATAAGTGAGTGCGATACATTTCAGTAAAGATAAGTGAGTGGGATACATTTGAGTAAAGATAAAGCAAGTGAAATACATTTGAGTAAAGCTAAGCAAGAGCGATACATTTTGTTCCAGTTTTTATATTATGAACGTTTTTAAACATTATTTCACTGTTGCATCCCAGAATGTAAATTTACAAATAATTTATCAGTAATTATTAATGATACAATCAATAATATTTCCTAGTTGGTGATTTATAATTTCTAGCTTTTCTGCAACTGAAGGAAGAATGTAGTTTTAAATGTTTTAAACATATTTCAAATGGATATAATTATTAGTATTGTTTACTCAAAATCACATTTTATTACTTAAAGGTTGACAATTAAACACTTGTTACTATTTTGCATTGTAATAGAATATTTAAAACTTAAAAAAACATTTGTCACATTCATGTTTACAATATTAAGATACTGGAAGTAGTACCAGAGTTCAATTTAACAAAATCATTTTTTCACGTTACAAAATAACCCATTAATTCAAATCAAAAACATGATTTTCTATTAAACTTAATCTGATTAAAATTTGTGTTCAACAAATTAACCACATTTACAATTGAGAGTAACTTTTAAACAACAACAAACAACATTATTATTATATAACTTACCAGACATCTTTGAGATATACACAAATTTAATTTCACTTGTACTTAATTTGTGGTATGGTTCTTCTAGCTTTTGTTCCCCACTCTCAACCATCTATTCTTATCCAATCCTCCTGTCCTATATATCTGATATTCTTCTTATCAAAGACCAACTTTTTAAAAGAACTAAGACTCACTCTGAAGTTGACCAGCCAAAATGGACCATACTTATTCTTATGTTTAGCCTCCAATTTGAATTCACATGGCTAAGATGTTTAGACAAGAAACATTTCAGCACTGTTTTCTTGCATGATTTCAGGTATCTTTTCACCCATGCATACATTAGTGTGACTGTTCTGTTACTACACCACAAAATATTTCAGCACTGTTTTTTTCCATGATCTCAGGTATCCTTTCATCCATGTATACACCAGTGTGACTGTTTAGTTACTACATCAAGAAACATTTCAGTATTGTTTTCTTTCAAGATCTCAGGTATCTTTTTCACCCATATATACACCTATGTGCCTTCCTATGTTTGTAGTTACAATCTTGTAAATGTAATAGTTTCAAAGTTTGGGTACAGATTGTTTTGTATGTTACACCAATTAAACATTAACTATGTATGCTTCTACCATTTTTAGCTATACATCATTATTACCTCTGTCAAATTTCATGTTAATCAGAGGAACTGACAGCTGAAATAAAATAGCAGATATTTCCATGATTAAATCCTGAAGAAAGCCACACCTGGGGCTGAATTAGCACATGACCTCATCCAGATTTAGAAGGTTTTGAATTAAAATTTTAGAAAAACTATGAAATATACAGTACTGGAAGCTTTCAAAAACTTGGACTGAGAAATTAGCTGGAACCAGTAGGATTGAGTGGCCAGCTGGGACTAGCAGGAATGTAGTGGCCATCAAGACCTGGCAGGAACCATTAAGGAACCTATTCCCAACTGGAATAAGTAGGATTGAGTGGCTAGCTAGACATAGCAGGAAAAAATAACTGGCTGGAATCAGTAGGAAAGTCCGAATTACCAAAACTAGCTGGTTACATGTTATCTAGCTTGAGCTAAAATTTTCAGTAGGAATCATGACATTTTTTAAGGTCAACAAGTCAGAGTACAGAGATTATTATGGGTATTAATTTACTATGTTCACCTAGTGAAATTTTACCAATGCAGTATGAAAATCCCAAGTGGCTAAGGTACAGAACAACACTATCACTTTTTTTTAAATATGTAGTTCTTTTTCAAAGCACAAAAAAGTTAAGAAAGAATACAAGCAATCTCAACACTGAAGAAAAGTTTAATTTGTTGGAAATTAAAAACCACGCAATTGAAATGAGATGAATTTCAAACTAAAAACTATCTTCCTATATTTAATTATGACTACACCAAATAAACTTCTTGTCTTAATCAATTTTGGTAAATGGAGTCATTTAATCTCTTCATTACTTTTACCACACAGAGAGAGGTACTTGCAATATTCCATTTTGATTTAGAACCTTCAGAGATCCCCTGAATTTTCATCATATAACTCAACAATGTTCAGATATGGAACCCTTTTATAATTACAGAAGTGGCCACTTCCTAAAGAAATATCTGAAGCAAACAGTACATATTATAGTACTGAGCACTAAGATTACCTTCTTTAGTTCATAAGCTACCAGAATTTCACGTTTAACGTTATCTATTGTAAGGAATCACATTACGCAAACTAAATATATTTCTAATTTAAAACCAACAAAAGATTTTTTTTAATATTTATTCTTGTATTAATTTTTAGACAGAGAAAGATTGATTAAATAACCAATAAAAGTTTGACTTTGAGTCTAACATATTTCCATTCATTAACTGGTATTTTCAATCTGAGTGGGCACCTTAAGCAATTCATGAGTTAAAGAGCCATGTCAAAAATCCCTCAGGTTCAGATACAGCCATTCCTAATTTTGAACTACTGACAAAAGGGAAGATAGCCAACCAGTAGCACCTACCACCACCACAAACTGACCAGAGGGAAGGTAATTAGTTCGCAGCATCCACCATCACCAGGGCTTTGATTGCTTTAAAACAAATAAAGAGAATGACAGTCACTCTTACAATATCCCCATTATTGAAAGCACAGTGTAAGTTCTGTGGCATCACATCACAATCTTTGAACCTTCTGATCTTCATTTTGAAAGAGCAACCACTAAACCACATCTAGTCCAATACAGTAATTTTCTCAGACAACAAAATAAATATTTTATGATTTTATTATGTTTGGTAGGTTTTAGAACTTTACGAACTGCAACTGCATATTGAGTGAAAATAGGACGACATTTCAGCTTCTATACAGAAGAAAGCCTCAGTTCTATTTATTATGTTTACTCTGTATGAGTTATAGCTGGCTTACAATAAAAACATCCACCAGTGGATCTTAAACAATGCAAGAATATATATAATATTGTTAAAAACCATTTTACTCTTTCCCACCACACCGTAAAATGTTTTTACAAAAATACGTACAACTATTATTTGTATATTTGGCTACTTGTAATTAAAAAAAGTGACTTTCTACAGATATATTTGAAAAACAAAAACAACCAGCTTTACAAATTAACTACAAATTTTATAAGTTACGGCTGTTGCCTCTCCAAAGCTTTATAGGAAAGCTAGTTATCTGTCAATCATTTATTTGACCAGAAATATAATATTCATAAAAACTAGTTTTGTAAGGTTAAGAGTTCCTGTGCTCTCAGAAATAGTATATGACAGCAAAAGTACCTGTCCTCAGTGATGGGAAAAGTATAAGTTAATCTATCAATTTAAATTATTTCTTGGACTTTAAAAAAGGTTAATTGTGTTGCAATCTTGGTTTCACTAAAGAGCCAAACTTCTGAGTTACTTATACCCCCCACCACAAAATGTAATTGATGAGCATTTCAGTCATGCTAAGAGCCACTCAATAATAACAAGTAACTCTACATCTTGATTTTCATGTCGCATTTTGAAATGTGAATAATAGTTTGATTAACCCCATCAGCCCGGGTACCGTTTACTGCACATGACACAAGGTTTTAGTGCCTTACATTCAAAATTTTATCAAACTACTTTTTGTATATGTTATACCAATTAGAATGGCATAAAATCTTAGCTAATAATCCATATTTTAATGGTATACAAGTTTTAAGTTCTTAATTCTAAAAGGAAATATATAAAAAAAATCCTGAATTTCCACTAGTGTAACATACGAGACATTTCGTCTTAGCACATCATCATCATCATCCCTATTTTATCCATCACCCCTCAAACATGTATGAAATTAAACGTAAAATGCTCTCTATAAAATAGTTATTGCTCAAACAGACCATACTTTTTACAGCCTTCAATTTTGTTTTGTTACAGAGCTATCAAAGAGAAAATCAGACCCCCTCCTGCACATCCTCTTTTTCACAACTGGTTGATAGTTCTCTCTCACGTTTCATTATATATTACCTATAACCAATAGAAAGTCAATGTTTTCGTCTATCATATGGCGTTTTGTATAACGTTGTGTTCTGAACAGATAACCGTCAATTTCACTCTGAGTAGCAACATCGTTCCCATGAGAAAGTTAACGACTAGCTTGGATGAATTTGTAATGGCTCTTGTTGCATAGTTAGAAAGCCAGGAAAATTTTTATAAGTAAGTGAATTTGTCTACTTTTTGCATGTTATTAGTCTATATTCTTTAGTGCATTATTTAATTAAATAAATATTGTTAAGTGCTTTACTATAATCACTAAAGAAATCAGGCTTAACTCTCC